ATTATTATTTTTTAAACATCCTCAACTTGCACAGCCATTTTATTAAGGCAAAATATTTCATATTTCTAGTAAACCATTTTTCCCAGAAGCTTTGGCAAGATTTCTAGAATGTGTTTTTTACAACCATTTCAGTGTTTTTAAAAAAAACAAACCTGTTTTAAATTCCTACTTGAAAGGGGAAACCACTCTGCAGTTAAAATCACAAGAGACACTTGAGAAGCAGAATGCAATTCTGGATTTAGAATTTACCATTACCTGGAGTTGGTGGAATATATATAAATCTCTCAAATAATAATACTACATTTCAAGCATATAAAAGATTTGATAGTTTCCATCAGCCAGGCAGTTTCTCCTGTAAAGGCAGTGAGTAGCATTACTCATGACCACCAAAAATGTCCTTACTAGCACATGTAAGTATTGGTTCAGTGTGAGCGTGCAAATTTCAGACATCATAGGATCATTAAGATTGGAAGGGACCTTAAAGATCATCAACTTCCACCCCCCCCTGCCATGAGCAGGGAACCCCACCTCCAGACCAGGTTGCACAAAACCTCATCCAACCTGGCCTTAAAAACCTCCAGGGATGGGGCATCACCAACCTCCCTGGGCAACACATTCCTAATTCCTCACCATCCTTATAATGAAGCATTTCTTCCTAATACCTAACCTAAATCTCCCCTCTCTCAGTTTAAAATCATCACAGCTCAGTTCTGTGCACACAGTGGGATCCATCTCTTGCCCAAAATGATCTTTTCTCACCAAAGACAGAAAAAAAAACTTCAACCTTTCTGTGTTATTCATACTAAGCCTCCCCTTCTCCCCACTTCAGGCAGGACGTAGCCAACCAGATGTGTACAAAATCCAAGGAGGAGTGTGAGAAGCATTACATGAAGCACTTCATCAACAATCCCTTGTTTGCGTCTACGCTGCTGACCCTGAAGCAGGCGGAGGAGGCGCCGCACCACGAAACAGCCATTCCCTTCCACCGTGAGTATCCCCTGCCCACGGGAACACTCGGGGAGCTTCCCCTGAGCCATCAGGCTCTCAAAACCAGAAGTTCCTGCACAGCCAGTGGACACAGTCACTGACAGAAATCACCGCAGCGAAAGCCTGGATGTGCACGTTAATTTAAGAGACAACTAACTCAAAGCTACTTCACGTGTGGCAGGGAACAGCAGCATGTCCTTCACCATAAACACCACTGAGAGTTCTCACCATCATGCCAAGGTAGTTATTTCTCTTGTCCAAGCCCTGCACAGCAATATTGACTGAGAAGGGCTTCTACCTCTAAAACACTGCATCTGATGAGCCATTCTGTGCCAGGCCTAACTGCTGATCACTTTAAACTACACTGATTTAACACCTCTCTTTGTAAAACTGCCCTTTAAATAGTGTACATGTCACTAATAAACAAATAATCCAGTTTTTCCTTAAATTAAACATCTTTAGAATTCCCCCAGTCTCACAGCTGTTCTATCGTAAGGCTCCCCAAAATGGCTGGATAAAAAAATAAAATTGCTTGGTATCTGGAGGCTTGAATTTCACAATAAAGTGGCTAGAGCTAAAGCAGCAGGAACTGGACAATTTTAGTTCTGTCCCTGGCTGTCACTGATTTCTTTATGTGACCTGGGCCAAGACCAAATCTCTGTGCCTCAACTTGCTTTAACTGCAGCATGGGACTTAGAGTACTTAGCTCCTTCACAAGGGTGTTGTGAGCCTCAGTCCATTATTGACTGTAAAACATGGAGCTCCTCAGTTGATACTGTAAGAATTCAGAACTGTGGAGCTTTAATTGCAGCTCTGTAAATGGCACCCAGAAGATGGCAGATTTAACACCCCTCTTGCTGTTAACTAAAAGAACTTGCACGCTGAGACTAAGTGATCTGCAGAGGTTTACCAGGGGGATGCTGAGCTCTGAAATGTAGAGTTTACATTTTCGAACCTATTTATTACCTTGAATTTCTGTGTTTGACTTTTGAGAATACTGTGAAGATCTCAGATGAATGCATTTTCCTCTGGATGAACTCAGTCTTTTTCTGTATATAAAGCAGAATAAAAGCCCAGTCGGGGTGTTTTTCTTCAACTAATTATTCCCACTTTTCCTGCAAAAGAAACACCTATTTACAGATAATGTTGTGTTAAAAAAGACCCCAAGCCCTACACAACAACTCAAACCCCTTTATTTTTGCAGCTGCTGATGATCCCCCACGGCCTACTTTTGATTCCTTGCTCTCCAGGGACATGGCTGGGTACATGCCAGCCAGAGCTGACTTTGTTGAGGTAAGACTCTTTCCTCTCCCATTATTTTAAGCTTGCTACTGAACCCGAGATTAGGAAATGCAGGCTTGTTTGCCTATAGGTCTTTATTCTCCAGGTACAAAGTGTGAGAAGAGAGGGCAGAGTGATGAGGGGCAGGGTTTAATGAGCGAGGCGGCGCTGCCGGGCGGCCCGCGGCTCCCACCAGATGTCCAGCCCTGAATGGCCTTTATGTAAGCTGCTGGGCCTGGTGAATTAGATGCTTGGAGAAAGGGGTCAGCTCCAGCACGCTTCCATTTCATTTGCTGTAGAGGAGCACAGATGAGCCTGATCCAAAGAGCACTTGAAAGACCTGCATTGTTTCCAGTGTTTCTCGCTGTGGGCCCAGGGCCCCGGTGCCTGTTGCAAAACAAGCTCCTGCACACACAGGGGTGAGTTCAGCCAGCCAGGGGTTTGTTGTTTTTTGAACATTGGAGCAGAGTTTCCACCACAGTGTGGGAGTCATGGAGATTACCTGATTAATTCTCATTATCTGAGCACAGCATCCTGTTCCAGTACCAGCCATGGGGGTTCATGTCATATGTTCCCTAGTTAAAGCTTCCCTGTGATGTATGTTGCTCAAGGATGGGAACTTGCACAGCTGTTTATGAGTAAATATCTCTGCTCTTAGTACTTCTGCGTGCACCGAAATGTCATACCAATTTTGTAATGCTAGTTAGTGACAATTTATTAATCACCTCTACAGGAGTTTGACAACTATGCTGAATGGGATTTGAGAGATATCGATTTTGTAGAAGATGATTCAGACATTTTGCATGGTGAGTCATGTATTTCAAGCACTGCCTGAAAACAATGTTTCAGAGAGCCTGCACAACACTTCATTGGGTCTGTTCTTCTCTACACACCTTTTAAAAAATGAGCATGCATTTTTAGTGAGCTTACTTCCACAGGCTGGGATTCAAACCTTGGCATTTCTGTGATACTTACTTTCAGATCTGTTTTTAAAACTCTTAATCAATTGATATACAAATGGCACTTATATGTAAAACAATGCGCTTCACTTCCTACTGAAATGTAGCCAGTTGTCAAGTAGAACATGACTGAAATCAAATAGTTTTCACTAGTAGTAGTCACCTCCCTAGGAAACACACAAATTATAATTTATTCAGTATAAACTGTAGAGGAAGCTTAGCTAGGTAGAAGCAAATTATCCAAGCTACTAATTTGTCTGGAAACAGGCAGCAGGACAGCAGTGTTGGAACAAACAGACCTACAGGCCTATTAAAAACCAGAAACACCAATGCCTTAGTATTACTTCCCCTCCCCAGCTGAAAGATATTCTTCCCATCTACATGATGTTTGTAAGCATGAGAGCAAGACACAGCTTCTCTTCTGATTCAGAAAGAGCAAAACTTATTTCTCTTTGCTAATACTCCTTTCCCCTACTTTGTCTAGTTTCTTAGATCTGTCACTTTATCTAACCTCTGTCAGTTTCAGAAATCAGCTATCAGGGTAGGCAGCAAAGTGGTGTGAAGTTCATTATCTGCAACACACAAACTGTTCTGCTCCTGAAGTTGTGTGGCTTTCTGGCTGTTAAACATGCCCATGGAGTTACAAGAGCATTAGCTGTATGGAACAACTTTTTTACTATGAAGAGGATGGTTGTTGCACAAGTTCAGTTACTGCTGCTGAGTTTCTGTGAACCTTGTTGCCTTTGTAATATCATAACAGGAATTATCAAAATGAAGTTTTAATCTATAGATAAGGAAAGATCATACTTTCCTCCACATTTATAAGAACACACAAGTATTTATGCTTCAGAATCTTGCCATCTGTGTCAGGCAGTTCTAAGCTCAAGCCCTTAGCACCCCTTGGAGACAGACAAATCCTGTTTCATACAGACAGTCTTTCCAAACTTAAAAAATCAGTTTGAAATTTAGCAGTGCACAGAGTTTTAAGGAATGCAAACTCCCTTGGCTCAGAAAAGGTTATGAGACTCGTATGTCAGTTTCTCTTCCCTTTTAACATTTATTGGAAGGGGGACTGAGATGTCACAGATTCATCATGCCACCCCTCTACTGTTTCTTTTTATTAGGATTAAAAAGAACATTTTCTTGCTTTCGTGTCCTATACTTAGTCCTGGTAAACAGAAAAAGCAAAATAATTTCCTAGTCCTGTTCATTAATTGGTAGCTTAATACTCATTCAGGCTGCTTTACCCCTGACATTTCCCACTGCACATTTCAGCCATTTAAGAGATCTCCCAGCTTCCTGTTTGTCAATCTGAGTGCAAAAACCAGTGTTCCTCTTCTCTTCAGAGTATCATAAAGCTGTGCAGAGCCAGAGCCTTTGGTTCATCTGGCTCAGTGTCCTCTTAGTACCCTCACAGGAGAAGAATGTAAGAAAAAGGAAAAGAATGTAAGAGAAGGCAAATGTAGGCTGACATTGTTCCTGCTGTATCTTCCATGTTTCCTGCAGTGGTAGGTTTAGAGACTTCTTCAGCAACAGGCTGTATTCTGACCATTTTCACCAAAGGATCTGTGCCCCATGAGCTTAACTAACTACTGTTAGAACTATATGTATTTCTGCTTTTGCCCCTGTAACATCCTGTAGCAGTGAGTTCCATAATTGAGTTAGGACTTCTACAATTTCATTATGTGTTGTGTGAAAAAATACTTCCTTCTGTCTGTCAAATCTCTTGCCTGATAATTTCATTGGATGTTCTCTAGTCCATTTTTCAGTTGTCTTCAATATTTAGCATAGGATGTCAGGCATTTGCCCTGTGAAAACTTTGGCAGAGGTTATGGACCATGACCAATTACATTTTCTCTCCCTTAGCTCAGGGACTCTGGCAGCTTCCTTCCCACAGCTGTCCTAGATCTGCCCATGTGAGAGAGAATGCCTCTAAAAAATGAAGCCCCAGAGTCTGGCCAGCTGTTTTTCTTTTACATGAGGCATCTTGGAGAGAGAAAGCATTATTTTCTAAAAAAAAAAAACCAACACTTTGGAATTAGATCTTGCCTTTCTCCAAGTTACCAAAAAGAATGAAGGAGCCACACCCTCCCTTGTCCTGCAGCCCCAGAGATCTCAGATCCTGACTTTGCTTGATTGCTTGAGAATATTTTGCAACTAATTGTTAAGATTTCATGCAGCAGTTGGCTCAGCAGTTGGATCTGAAGGCAGGGACAGGGATGTGGACGGCTTAAGAAACCTCTGTGCATTCTAGTTACCAGGCAAAGGAGCTGTGAGGAGCCCTGGAGGCCCAGGTTCTCCTGCTCTCTCCCAAGGGTGCCTGTCCCACTGCTTCCAGGTGGCGGCTCCAACGTGCCTCTAACCCCAGCCCTGCCCACTGCCAAACTTCTTACACTAGATCTTACAGAAAAGTCCTTGGAAAGCTGCCCTGTGTTTGCCTTCCACACCTGTTTGAGACATTTTTTGCTGGCCAAACAGCAACCTTTTTTTCTTTAAAAAGGTAAAGATGTAGAACAGGGTTTTAGCACATTTTATAGCCCACAGAAGCCCCCAGAAATGGAGTCTTGCAGCACAGATTAAGTATCAACTTTGTGAAAAACTCCTTATTTTGTTTCTTTTTTTCTGAAAGCTACTCAAGCCAGACCCTGAGAACACAACAACCAGAATAATTTCTATGGTCTTTCTTTCTTTCATTTCACAAGCCACAGATCAGTGCTGCAATGTCTGGGTTGCATGTCACACAGGAATATTTCATGCTTTCATTGTACAGGAATTCCCCCCTCTCCCCTCCCCTACACATGCTTTTCCTAAAATTTTGTAAAAACAGATTTTTTAAAAGTCCTAGATCTAGCACACTTGACCTGTGTTTTCTGATATCATTGCATTTTCCCTCTTTTATTTCCCTGTGTCTCTGCTCTACTCAGCTCTGAAGAAGTTCACAGTATTTCCACAAGCAGGTAGAATGCAATTTGATACAAGGTGGAAAGATTCCCAGAGAGCCTTTTCTGAGGAGCACAGACACCTGTACCTGCTGTCTCACCAGCTCCTCCCACCACACAGGAGGTCACAGACACTGTTCAGTCACTTCTTGATCTTAGTGAGATGAAATCTCTCATGTTTTAATTAACATATTGAACTGATAACTTTTCTTCACTACTTGCAAATAAGTGCATGCAAATATATATTGCAGTTAAACAAAAACATAATGGGCAGATCAAAAGAAACAAGTAGTTACAAATCTCAGTCAGCCCAGAGTGTTTAAATATTTCATGAATTACAAGTTTTCCTCAGACTGAATTATAACCTTAGTAATTTATCTTTTTCCAGGCTTTTTCTCCCCTTTCCTTCCCATAGAATTGATTTTTACTTGTAACACTGGAGAGTAATTGCTGAAACCACAGGTTGAGAAGTGAGTGGAATGGTGACTCTGTGGTGACTCTGCCTGTAGAGCAGTGAAATTTCATTTTATAAGATACAAGGCAGCCAATGCCCTAAATATTACATGATGTTTATTCTTTCGGGGAAGTTCCTGACATGCTCTCAAGGCAGATCCTCTTGTTTGCCTGGGGTCCTGCTCTCCCCTAGGGAGGGTGAATTTGGATTGTAGCCATTAAGTTTGTACGAACTGGGTACACAGCCTGTTTACTTTGATTAGTTTCCATTCTTCCCATTATTTGGGCCTTGCATGCCAAACAGAGGTTAGCTAGCATGAAACAAAGGTCTCACTCATTAGTGTTCAAAAAAGTTTTTGCAGACCAAATGAGGCTGAAGAGGAATGAGAAGCAAAGAAACTGTTTCGGACACACTCTTGAGAAACCAAAATATTTTCATTTTTTGGAATGGAGAAAGGAGCCTTGAATTTCTGCCTATCACTGGATCCTTCAAAGCTACTCTGACCATCCCTAAGAACCTTATCATTTTCCAAAATGGACACTTTGAACACAGTGTCAGCTTGGATTATCTAAAATTACCAACACAAACAACTGCCTCCCTGGTATAATCCATGGGGAAAAGCACAGGCAAATCATTCTCATTCACACAGCAGCTCTTTTCTCATTTCAATGCAGCATGTAACAGTGTAGTAGTCTGAGTTATTCATGCATTCCAGATCTTGTAATCGCCTGTTCCTGTGTGAATATGTCTATTAAAAACAAAAGCCCCCTCCAAAAGTGCATGTGGCAGCAAATACTAATTTATCTGTAAGCAGAAGCTCTTTTTTTTTCTTTCCTTTGTTCTCATGAACCTTCCTTCTTCTCCCCAGCTGATTGTAATTTCTTTCAGAAAATGGTGCATTCAGGTGAAAGCATTAAAATGCAATATTATAGGTAGATAATTACTTGTGATATTTATAGAGGTTCTCCAATGCAATTTCTGCATGTAGTTATTAAGTTCTGCCCCCACAAACCCCAGGAAACAACATGATAGCTTAGTTTCCACAGGGTTTAAAAATATATAAATATAATACAGAAATTAGCACTGATTCCAACACTTGGTAGTATTTTTCATTCATGTTTAATTTGCTGCATTTCCCAATTTCTTGTCCCCACATTTAAGCAAGAAGAAGAATTTGCTACCTGTGCTTTTTCTTCAGTTAGGAAACTTAAATACCTCTTTTATGAAAACACATTATGATTCTTCCACACTCTTT